GGTTTTCTTGTATGTAATACTTTCATTGTTGGGAGTTCCTCATTTAGCAGTTTTATTGAGAAAGAGCGAAGTGAGTTATCTCTAGTTGAAGTTTTGTTGTCAGTAATTTTAAATTGTTGCCACACTTCTTGTGACCATTTCCAATTTGTTTCTTTCCTTATATTTTTGTTTAGCCATTTATATGTTCGGTGTTGTGTAAACCAAGAAATGGTTGATTCAATTTCTCCTTTTGCTTTGATAAGTTCCTTAATTGATGTGTCTATATTGTTACCATTCCATTTGTGTCTAAATTGTTGCTCTCGTAAATATTTAGGATTGATTGAAAAGATAGATCCTGAATTTGATCCGAGTTTTGCCAATTCGTCCACTCTTTCATTGTTGTAATCCCCTTGGTGTGCTTTAATTTTTTCTAGTTTCAAATTAATTTCTTTTGTATAGATTAATTCTTTAATTGTTTGTAGTATTAATGGATTACTGTAATTATTCCAGTGTTTTCCTTTACGTTTATCGGTGTAACCTTTAATTGCTTTAATTGAGGATTCACTATCTGTAATTATTTTTATTGAAATTTTATTAGGAATTACCCATAGGACTGAAAGTATAGCCCATAGTTCAGCTCTTGTTGATAAAGGTGGACCCTCAACTTTTCCTTTCCATTCAATTCTTCCTAAGTTGGAATTTTCTACGAGACATAATGCTCCAAAGCCTATACGTTGTTTTTTTATTTCTATATGTTTTGAGCTATTTAAGGTTACATCTGTGATAAGAGATTCATCTGTATATGCTATTATTTGTTTGCTTTTTTGTAATTTTCTAGTACATTCTTCTAACATTTCTAAAGTTTGTGTATCGGTATCAATGATTTTTTGTAAAAAAGTTTGATTATCTATATTATGTTTAAATTGTTTTTTTTTACTTGATTTGAATTATTTTCATGGTAATGTCGTAGAGAGCTAGGAAATATTACAACTCTGGTTTTGATTCTTTTATCTTCTGAATTTCCGATTGAGACCCGTGAGTTTTTAGTTGGTAAATGACTAACTTTTGTAACCTCTGCTGTGATTGTACAGTATTTAGTATTTGATCCTTTATTTTTTGTATCTAGTGTGGAGAGTGATTCTTGTAACGGACATCCTTCACATGCTTTAAGTGGTGAAAATGTCTCCTGTTCTATTGTTTCTTGAATCATATGTCTCATTACTACAGTTTGGTCACGTGATTTGAGCTCACGAGTTATTTTTCTGATTATAGGTCCTTGCAGGTAGTTTGTAGTTATTAT